TCTCCTAAAAGCCAGGTAAATATTGAAATGAGATGATTTTGATGCTGAGTGTGTGCCCCTGCTGGTTTCCTTTGGCAGTACCATGGTGCAGACACTGAGATATGTGTACCAGCAGCACGGAGTGCGACGGGGGCTGTACCGGGGGCTCTCCCTGAATTACATCCGCTGCATCCCCTCCCAGGCCGTGGCTTTCACCACCTATGAACTCATGAAACAATTCTTGCACCTCAACTGATCTTTTGTTTTAGGAGACTTTTCTGTACAACTACACTATCAATCCTCAAATGATATTGATGAATAAATGACTTGAAGTTTAACAAAAAAAGCTCTCTGTTACTGCGGACCTGCTGTTGTCTGACATCTTTATTTGCCAAAATGTGGTGATTTCCTGGAGTCAGAGCCAGGGGACACATCCACATAAACATGAGCTAGCTCTGAACACTTTTTTGCACTTGATCTTTTAGGCTTCATTAGATGAATTTTAGGAATGGCACAGTTTTGGAGATCCATGTTTTACACAGGTTCCAAGCTGTTATTTAGCTTTATCACCATTCCAGGAGTTACATGCTGCTGATTATGCTGCCTTTGAAGCTAGTAATTAGGCATCTGTTCTTTAGAAATGAAATGGAATAAACTGATTTGAACACAATGCAATGGTTTTGGCACTCAGATCCTTGTCAGGTCTGTGGAAGCTGAGCTTGGCAGAGCACACTTCAGGCAGCCTTTTATTGTTCTGTGTGCAAGAACAGGAATTGCTGCCCAGGAAGGGATCTTCAGCCATTTCAGCCACAACCAGCAGGATGGATTCTGCAGTATTGGACAGCTTGGAAATTTTGGTGTACATTGTATTCTAAGAAATGCTGTACTACACAAATAAAAGTGGGGGGAAATTCACAGGGATGAGTTCTAGAGAAGATCTTGTGGCAGGTGGTGGGGGCTAATCTCAGAAAGCTTTTCTGTGGAGCTGCATGTTGTTCATTTGGTGTGTTCAAGGCTGAGTACGCTATGAGTATGTACTACCCCAGTACTAGCTGGTGTAAACAGGTTTTCCCTCCCTTAAACCACCGTGCCAAAGAAACTGCATGCTGCTGCAATTGCTTATTTAGGCACAGGGCCCACGTGCAACCTCACACAGAAAAGGAAATGAAGATTGTGTTGGCCTCTGTAGGTGTGTGTGTGTGCTGTTTGCTCCTCAAGCAATGGATTATTGCATGTTGGCCTCCTCCTGTGATGCCTTTTCTGGAAGGAATTATTTTATACGTGATTTACATTGGTACTCTTGATTTTACTCACTTGATTCAGGAAACTGTAAAGCATTTACTTCATGTAAGTTATTTATTTATTGTAAATATTTTAGTGTCTTCTCAGAATTGGCCAATGGTGATGTTAAGTGCTGGATGGTAAGACTGATTTGCTTAATTTTGACAAATTTAACAAACTGGATTTTCAGTTATATATTCAATACCAACTTCTGTGGCTCAATTTTTCCCCCAGTTTCTTAAAAATACGAATTTCTTTGAAATTGACAGTGTAGCAATGGACAGAGAATGAAATGTATCTGGATATATTTTATTAAAATTTTTGAACCAGTGTCCTTGTGTGATCTGTGTGTGTTCCAACCAGGAAGAATACATATTTCTGGAATGATCTGTTTGCCCTAATAGGTAAATATGCACAACATTGTCATTCTTAATTAAATGGCAGCAAATATGCTTTCTCATCTGATCCTTTTTCCCCAAAAAGGAAAGCTAGCCAATATCACCGTGAGCTTTTACATTTTAAAGTTCTTGCAGCAGAGATAAACCCACTGTATTAGAAAACTGAAGTGCCTTTCTTTTCTCTACGTTGTTTTGCTGTGTGAGCAAATAAGCCAGTTCTTTTTCATGTGAATACTGTTAGGGATTATTAAATTAAGAGTTTTACATCTTAATTCTACTACCAGGGGTGTATGTGAGGAGTGTCATGGTAAGTTAAGGCGTTGTAAGGCAGAATAAAGCAGAACCCAGCATGTTCATGCCTGAGAGAAAGAAAACTTAAAAAGTGTCTCCTGAATTCTTGAGTCTGGTACTGAATGTGAAAAACACACCTACTTGATGGAACTGTGCTGTATTTTCAGAATTAGTTTTTCAAAATAAAATTTAACAGTGTATGGAAGTGTTTTAATCTTGATTCCTGAATTTACACAGTTATGCTTGGAGAATGCAACTTTAAGATCTATCAGCAAACATTTTTTACAATCTCTGATTTCAGAACACTTGTGTCCAACTTTCTCCCTAGAGATTTCCCACACTGGTTGGATTTTAGATAACTTCAAAAAGAGATATTTAAAGCCTATTTTGTACTTCATAAACCTATTCTGTTGAAATATTTATTTTCTGGTGCATGGGAGATGTATAGGCATCATGAAAGAGGCTACAGCACAAAGGTTTAGCAAGTGTTCAATGCATTTATGTAATTTCAATATCACACCACATTATGACTGCATTTAATCATATCAACAAGCAACTATAAAATTATAATTAGGCTTCTCTTAGAGAATAATGTTGCAATGGGAAGCAGCATTAATGTAGTTTACTGCATATATTTCAGGACTATCCCAAATAAAACTGCAAAGGCCTAACCTAAGAATGTTCTCACCTTTTAAAATTCATCAATATGAACTCGATCCTTCTGTTGGGATGTCTAACCATGGGTCAAAGCTGTCCTTTCTGCAGCAGAGTGAGCGCTGTGTATCGGAAACTTCAGCACCGTGTCAGAACGCCAGCGGCCACACGTCTTTCTGAGGGGAAGGGTTGGACTCTCGGGCTCAGAGTGGCCCATAAGAGAATTGGGAGCGGAAGGCACGTCTAATATTACCCCGTATCACCGCACCGGTAACGGAGGTGGGGC